CTTCCGCTCGTGATTGTGACGTGTACTTCCATCCCCAGGGACTGATGCGGTCAGACGTCGTTCCATGCAGCGTCACAGCCGAGGGTCCTAGTCAGACACTTGCTCACGCTCTCAGTTTTATTTCATGTGTGTGGGTGTTTTGCCAGTATGTGTGTCTGTGTACCATGTGTGCCCTGTGCCCACAGAGGCCCAAAGAGGGTGCCAGTGCCTCTTGAGTTGAGGTTATAGACAGTTGTAAGCTGCCATGTGAGGTCTGGGAATAGAGCGTGGGTCCTTTGGAGAGAAACTAGTGCTCTTAACCACTGAGCCACCTCTCTGGTCCCCCTCCACAAGTCCATATACCTATCCACAAATATATGCATGTTCATGCTTATGGATATGTATTTGTGGATAGGGATGTACATATATTTAAGACCGTTTCCTCACTGATCCTGGGATATTCCAGTTGTTCTGAACTCCCTGGCTACAGAACCCCTGGAATTATTCTGTACCTCCACAGTGTTGCAGTTACAGGCCTTTGACATTTTACATGGAGTCTGAGGATGGAACTCAGGTGCCCATGCCTGTGTGGCCAACTGAGCTAGCTCTCCATCCCCAAAGCCTATCTTATAACAGTGGTTTTTGCAGCAGAAAGTCTTTTATGTTTCAGACAGATTCTCACCGTGTAGCTTTGACTAGCCTGAAACTCAATATATAGATCAGGTTGAACTCACACTCATAGAGATCTGCCTGCCTCTTCCTCCCAAGTGCTGGGATTAAAGGTGTGGGCCATCATTCTAGCCAAAACTCTACATTTTGGTGGCTCCTAATTCATCAGTCCGTTCTCTCACTGCTCATCTCTGCTTCCTCTTCCGTGGGCATCACACTGTGTGCAGGTCTTGATGTTAAGGCAGGAAAGCTAGACTCTTTCTCTTTCTTCAGAGTTTTTCTAGCTCCTTCACATATGAGAATTAAAATCAGCTTGTTGATCTTGACAGAACCACACAACCCTTCTTGTGATTTCACTGGGATGGTACTAAATCAATAGACTAGTTTGGGGAAAATCAATACATAGCCTATAGCCTGACTCTCCATTTCCTAATATTGTTGAGCGTGTGTGTGTGTGTGTGTGTGTGTGTGTGTGTGTGTGTGTGTGTGTGTGTGATTAATGTGCTTGTGTAAATGATGGGGCCAGATGCGTTTGTGGAGATGAGAGAACAATTCTGTGAAGCCAGTTCTCTCCTGCCGTCTTAGTGGGTTCTAGAGATTGACCTCAGATTGCCAGGTCTGTGCAGTGGTGCCTTTATCACTGACATCACACCAGCCCCGCATTTGGAGTTCCCAGCAAGCAGCTCTGTGTTTACTTTAGACTTACGTATCTTCTTTATTTGGAAGTAGTATGAGTGAATGTTTCTGAACACTTGACTTCCAGTTGTCTACCTGGAGTGACGTGTGGTTCATGGTTGCTTTTTATAGGCAGCCTGGTCTGCTGTGCTCCTAGGAGCTGTCTTAGATTTCTCTGTTCACAATCCTGGTGTCTGCAGACAGTGGCGGCTTTGTTTCTTCCTTTTCCTGTCTTTGGTCACCTTGCCTTGCCTGTTGACCTGGGTAGCACGAGCCCACATGAAGCCCAAGGGTGAGCAGTCAGGCCAGCCTCCGTCCTGTCATAAGGGAACCCAGCCTCCCTGCTGCTGTGACAGGAGGGAGTCCTTCTCTTCTGGCTTGCTGAGAGTTTTTAGTGTGAATGTCAGAATTGCCCAGTCAGCTGCAGTTTTCCCAGCCTGCTCCTGCAAACTACCACATTCCTCCTGCACAGCCCAAGAGGCTCCCCACAGCCTCAGTGTTGCCCAGCAACCCCACTTGGTGCCAGCTTTCTGTGTCAGTTGACTTCTGGCATGATAGCAAACATCCAAGGAACCAGCTTAGAGGGCTCCGAGTCAGAGATTGCTTTCAGTCTGTGGTGAAGTGGCGCATCAGGATGGCGTCACGGGTGTAATGAAAGCTGCTCACCAGATAGCCGGCAACCAAAGCAAAGCAAGCCAGGCAGAGTCCCACAGTTCCCTTGAAGGGTGTGTCTTCTGCTGGGTCCTCCTTAAACGCTCTACCACACAATGGTGGCACAGGTACCACGCCTTTAATACATGCCCCCCAGAGTAAATTGAGGCAAACATTTTGATATAGGGTACGTGTGGACTTTTTGTTTTGTTTTTCCCCTTTATTTAGTTTGCTGAAATGATAAATTAAAATAATTTTCAAATGCTGAACCAGCATTTTATTCCTAGAACAAATCCCCATTTGGCAGAGTATAATAATGAGTATCTTTATGTCTTGATAGATTTAGTTTGCAAATAACCTGTGGAAAAGCTTTGCATCTGTGTTCACAATGGACATCAGTCTGTTGTATGCTTTCCCTAGTCCCTTCCTCTCTCCTGCTCCTCACCCGGTATCCTCTTTCAACAAGGTCTGGCTGTGTAGCCCAGGCTAGCCCAGGTCATCTTATCTCAGATTCCTGAGTTCTGGGACCGAGGGTGAGTGCCAGCAGCCACACCCAGCTTTTATACGTTTGTTTTTTGCAGTTTTTGTCTCCTGTTGATAGAAGGGCGATGCCGCTCCCCTGGGTTGAGGCATCCCTTCCTCTTGTGCTTTCTGGAAGATGGTCTGTAGGTCTGTTTGCTTCCTCTGTCTTTCGCTTGTGTCTCCTGTGCTAGGGATGGAATCCCGGGTCTCACGGGTGCTCGGCACGGTGTTCCATGCCTCTGACTGTGGGGAGGCTTCTCTTCAGAGCATCTGTGCCTCGTTGGCTTTACCGATAGGTGGCTCTGGCCTGCCACCGGTTTGGAGTTGTTTTAGTTTGTCTGCTGTGGCATGGGTGTCTGAGATCTCCAGTGCTTTTATTCCTGATAAAGAGAATATTCTGTCTTTTTCTAAGCCTTTGTTTGGCTGGAGGTTTTATTGAATTTTTTTTAGTCTTCACAAAGAAGTAACATCTGGTTTTTATTTTCTGTATTTTCAAGTTATTTCTGATTTTATCTTAATTGCTTCCTTTCTTATGCTTCCTTGGTGTTCATCCCCCCTCCCCCCTCTCCCTCCCCCTCCTTGTCTCCCTCCCCCTCCCCCTTTTCCTCCTGGTTCTTAATTTTTTTTATGCTGGTTAGTCTGTTCAGTGGAAATCTTTCTTCCAATAGAAACACTAATACTCACTCAAATTCTGCCATGCTGTCTTCATTTTTATTCCATTGCCAACACTTTCCGTTTTCTTGTGAGAAGCTGTTTCTGCAGGTCCGTTTCCCAGGTAACCATGCACTCTCCAGTTGCCTTGCTGTCACAGTAGCCACCTCTCAACTGCAGTTTCATTTTCCAAGTTCTGCTGTGGTATGAAAATATTACATAGAAAATTCCAGAAAGAGATACTTTATGTTTTCAGTTGTATGGTATCTGTATCCTACATGGTGGGTTGAAGTTCCTGGGTTCCCAGAGCTGCAAACAGCCCAGCTGGTGGCCTCGGTGGCCCATTAGGAACTGCTCTTGTGTGTAGCTGTCTGGTGGCAATAGGTGTTGAAATACACTCCCACCCACCTGTGGCTGGTCTTCTCCATCCTGTCGGGCTCTCGTGGCTGTCTGGCACCAGACTGTCTGGGGTGCTTGCGATCCTGTGGGGGAGTCCCTTGCCTGACCCTTCTCTTCTCTGAACATAGTGCAGTGCAGACAGCCTCACCTTTGTCACCCTGTCAGTGAGGACCTGGGGACCCTATCTTAACTCAGAATAGCATGGATTCCCTGCGTTAAACACAGAGTAGAAGCGTCCTGGTCATAAACCCAAGATGGAGAGGGTTCCTTCTTAAGTGGGGTCGCTCTTCCTCCATGGAAGTGGTAGACACTTGCGGTGGCACACATAGCTTCTTGACACCTCCTGTGGCCAGGGTAGGAAGGGCAGTTGAGGAACCGCTTTCCCCACGCATGGTTCTCAGGCACCAGGACAGAAGCCTGCTGCCATCGTGTGGGAGGAGGCCAAGCTGCAGGGCTGCCTCTTGTCTTCTTCTGCCTCATTGTCATGTTGAGGACCATGGCAGCTCATGTGGAAGCAGAATTCCAGACCTACCGTTTGAGACCCAGCTTAGACTTGTAAGGACTTGAATGTGAAGCTGTGCTGGTAGCCAGTGCTATTGTTTGACACAGGGCCTCCCTGTGTATCCCTGGCTGGTCTGAATCAGGCTAGACTCAAAGAGATCCTCCTGCCTCCGCCTCCCAAGAGCTGGGATTAAAGGCGTGTGCACACCTGGCATCAGTGCCATTTTAATTTAGGCAGCTGTATGTTTACTGTGCTGCCCGGTTGAGCAGGTGTCATAGAACAGGATTTGGGTAGGAAAGTGATCAGTATTTATAGGTGGTTGTGGAAAGTTTGCCGAAGCAGGTGTGCAGGCCCATTCCTTTGGTGGACCCATTTGCCTTCAAGAGGTTGTTCTGGCAGCCCATGCATGTGTGTAGCGTGTCGCCGTGTGTGCACAGGTGTGGGTGGCACAGATGGCTGCAGGAAGGTGCACTTGCTTGGGAAGCAGGCAGAGTTCTGCAGCAGCCGACCCGCAGGCCACGTGCTCATTGTTTGGCAAATGTTCCCACAGCTGCTCTGGTCCTGGGCATGTCACCAGACCACGCTGAGCCTGCAACACCTGTCTCCCTGTAGCTCAAAGGCCTTAGAGCAGAATGTTGAGGTGAATCCATGCCTGCCTCATGGAGGTGACAGCATGGGGTCGCAGCCACACCTGGGATGGGAGCTGTTGTCCCGCAGCTAAGAGCTGTGTGTGCTGTCAGTGCAGAACCCTGGCCTTGGACCCTCCCTGGTCTTCAGTCTCACATGCTTGCCATTCGGAGGTCTTTTCTCTGGCCTTGCCATGCAGCCCCTCCTGGTTGCTGTCCCTCACAGCGATGTGCAAAGGCAGCTGACACGGCCAGACCTGAGGTTTCCCGGGCAACTGGGCAGTGCAGTAGGGGGCATGCACAAGGCTGAGCTCTGTGTCTTGCAGGTTGTGTAGCCTGACCCTGAAGAAACTGGCCGTGCTCCGGGAGCTGGAGAAGGAGCTCCTGTCTGTGGTGATCGCTGTCAAGATGCAGGTACGCCCTCACTGCACACTAGTGTACACGTGTGGCCGGCCTCATTCTCACATGGTCCCTGGCCGTTCCCAAAGACCCCACCCTACTCTGAGCCACCCACCCAGACCTTTCTTTCGTGCCTCTCCCAGGGTGACAGGCATGAGCAGGAACAGGACATGGGCTCTCTGGACTAGAGCCTACCCCAGTGTTCTGTCCACTCCTCATAGGGCCTGGGGAGCCTGTGCCTGCATGGGCTTGGACCCCACCTCTCTTGGGGGAGCAGCTTGGCCCTCCAGGTGTGTCCACTGCTAGCCCTTGGCTGCCTTTGCTATGCCGAGTATTGCCAGGTGCCAGATCCACTCTCAGGGGATGGGATGTGGATTGTGACTCCTGGCTTCTCAGATGGAGCTCCTGGTGGCCCTCTGCTGCTCGCCCTTCACAGGCGTGTGGCCTGTGCAGGACAGGTGTCACGCAACCTCACACCAGGCCTGTGTGTGACCCCTGACCCTCCACCAGGGGTACCTGGGTCCTGCTGAAGTAGCCCATGTCTGACCCCACCCATACTACCTGTGGCATTGGACCCATCCCAGACCTGTTGTAACGGTTGTGCTGAGCCTTGGCCCTGGACAAGACTTTCATCTGTCATCCAGGGTCTCCTCTGTCACACAGAACCCTCCCATCCACGCAGGACCCTCCCATTTTTCTCTGAGATGAGTGCTTGGAGTTCAGAGAGGCCCTGGCTTCTGCTTATGGTCAGTGTGGGAGGCCACTCCTCCCTAGAGATGCTGTGGGCTCTTGGCTCCACCCACTTGGCTTTGTGCGGGACTGTGTCCTCCTGTCACCTGCACAGTTTGAATCTGTGTTAAACATCTCCTGCTCTTCCTGTCCCTGTCCCTGGGTGCTTTCTGGGTTTTACGCGGCATACCCTGGGTGCTTTCTGGGTTTTACGCGGCATACCCTGGGTGCTTTCTGGGTTTTACGCGGCATACCCTGGGTGCTTTCTGGGTTTTACGCGGCATACCCTGGGTGCTTTCTGGGTTTTACGGGGCATACCTCTTGGCCCCACACACCCATAGCTGTGCATTGTCCTTACAGGACCATCAGTGACGTTCCCTTGATAGGAGCTCTTCCTGCTGTTTCCCTCCATTCCCTGGGGAAGCCAGCAGTGGAGTCAAGTTTTAAGGGTCCCGACAGTGTTCTTGCTCACTCCCTCCCTCCCTGTCTCCCTCCCTCCCTGCCTGCCTCCCTGCCTGCCTCCCTCCCCATGAAGCCTTTGTCTCCATAGTTCAGTTGCTGGTGTGAGGATGTGTTTAGCTGTTTCTCGGGCTTTAACACCCCTAGATCAGAAGGGGGCGTGTTTACTTGCAGGGTTCCAAGCGTGTCCTGAGATCACATGAGATTGTGCTGCCTCCCAGTGGACAGGTGGAGACGGACCTGGCCCTGACCTTCTCTCTGCAGGTGAGTCCCACACCTGGTAATGAGGACCCTCCCTTGTCAATGCTTTGGATATGAAGTCTTCCTCCTTGGTGCCCAGGGCGAGGGCAACTCTGCTCAGTGCTCTGGAGGTGGTGGACTCACTTGGTGCAGTGCCTGGGTGATAGACGTCCCCAGTTAATTCCTTAGGGGTGAGGGACACATTTCCTCATCAGCTTCCTGAGTGGTGGACACACCCTTGTCAGTGTTCTGCATGCTGGTCGTGCCCTTGTCAGCCAGCTGTGTTCTTCCTCGCTTTGATCTTCTCTTGATCAAGATTCTTTTTCCCTCCCTCCATCCCTCCTTCCCTCCCTCCCTCCCTCCTTCCCTCCCTCCTTCCCTGCCTCCCTGCCTCCCTCCTTCCCTCCCTGCCTCCCTGCCTCCCTGCCTCCCTCCCTCTCCCTTTCTTTATTCCTTTTCTCTCTCTTTCCTTCTCTCTTTCTCTTTCGTTTTTTCAAGACAGATTTCTCTTTGTAATAGCCCTGGCTGTCCTGGAACTCGCTCTGTAGACCAGGCTGGCCTCTAACTCACTGAGATCCACCTGCCTCTGCCTCCTGAATGCTAGGATTAAAGACGTGCACCACTATCACCTGGCAAAGGTTTATTCTTAAACAATCAGAAATTCTTACTGATTTATTCTTCCCCCCTCCCATAATGAGGAATAATGAGGTCTATGTTAGCTGATTCATGGCTGTGACAACAAAACACCTGGTCAGACGCCAACTTAAGGGAGGCTTCTATTGGCTCACGGTTTGAGATGCAGTTCCTCGTGGTGGGAAGGCTGGGCTGCAGATCACATCGCATCTGCAGTCAGGACGCAGCGACAGGGATTGCAGTCAGGACGCAGCGGACCGGGATGGCTGGTGTCAGCTCACTTCCTCTAGCCTAGGCCCCAGAGAACCTACATTTAGGACGGGTCTTTCTTTCCACCTCAGGTAACCTAATGCATTCACTCCTGCCTGGAGCACTCCAGGGCCCGTCTCCCAGGCAATTCTAGATCCTTCCAGATGACAGTATCGAGCATCACAAGGAACAAATACATTGTCAAGCCAGAGTTATTTTATTTTCTTGTTTAGCAAAGATTGGCAGGACTATGTGGAAACTCTGTAGTAAGTTCAGAATCCTTTGAGTGCCTTGTGGAGAATGTGGACTGTCAACCCAGATCATCTGCTTCTGGGTTTTGTGCACTACTGCAGTTCACTGAAGTGTAATTTACCAAACGCACCTGTGGCGAGTACCTCCCACCCCCCCACCTTGTCTTCTGAGAAATGTGTATAGATGGCCAGTCTGCTTGGAGACTGGAGTTTAACCCTACGTCCAGAGCTTACCCCAGGCTCTGGTTGTGAGCTCTGAGGATCCTGTGGGAACTGATTTCTCTGAGTGAAGCCTCTGTCACAAGTGCAGGCCCTAGGCATGGGCAATGTACAGCAGATGGAACTAGCCAAGGGTCACCCTCAGAGGGCACAGGGTCACCCCCAGAGGGCACAGGGTCACCCTCAGGAGGCACCTAGTTACTCCCACATATGGGAGATTACCAGATACTTAGGGCCATGTTGGGAATTGTATACTGAGAAGCTGCCCCCGCTTTTCTTCAAATGCCTCTAAACACGTGAACCCGTCCCCAGAAGTTTAGCCGATGTGCTCCACTAGTGTGGAAGTAGAACCCCTGCCACTTAAGCTGAAGGTGGCCCCCCTGATGCTCAGATTCCTGAGGGAGGGTTGGCGAAGGGCTGTGAGGACCGAGACACTGCAGGCCTTAGTGGCGCCAGCAGGTGCTCCTCAGGGAACTTGCTGACGGGGTGGTTAGTGTGCTCTGCGGCACCCGGCCTCAGGCGAGCTTGCCTGTGTCTCCAGTACCCCCACTTCCTGAAGAGAGAAGGCAACAAGCTCCAGATCATGCTGCAGCGCAGGAAGCGGTACAAGAACCGAACCATCCTGGGCTATAAGACGTTGGCCGCGGGGTCCATCAACATGGCTGAGGTAGGTCTCTGGACTGATGTCCGGTGCTCCCAAACGATGAATGATTTCCCTTATGTGTCTGACAGACCATTCTCCGAGTCATCAGAGAATGCACAAGGCTGGACTCCAATGCAATGGCAAGACACCACTCTCTTGCCACTCCCCAGGTCCCCAGTCCTAGGCTGACAGTGTGGCTGTTCCTGTGCCTGCAGCCAGGCACACAACTCTTCCCAGAAGAGTGCTTGGAGCTGAGCCGTCTGCCCTGGACTCCCTCCTTACACAGGTTCCTCCTGGTGCCTGCCCCTTAGTCCTCACCCCGCCCTCGCAGCTCAGATGGGCAGCAGGAAAGTACCTTAGGAGTCTCCCGAGGCCCTGTGTTCTGGGGAGACCGAGAAGACAAAATGGGCTCCTGGGCAGACAAAGCCTCCAAGCAGAGCGGCTGGACATCATTAGCTACAGGAGTAGCCCAGGCGAAGAGGTGGCTCGGCCTTGGCCACTTTGTCCCTGGACTGTCGAACTCTCCTCTTTTGGAATTCCATTTAGTGTCTGGGGAAAGTGCAGGTGTGTTGGTGGCCACCAGAAGTCGGAAGATGGCTGCAAGCCAGGTTGTGGCACTGTCCCCAACCTAGACTACGCCAGGCTTCTGGGCTGCCCGGCACCTGCCCAGCCACTTGTGCAGTCAGGCTCGTCCGCATCCTCCCCTGGCCTAAGCCATCCTGCTACACCCTGTCTCCTGGAGCTTCCTCGCCCTCCTGGCCTAAGGCTTTCCCTCCAGTTTCCTAGGTCATGCTGGCCTGACCATCCCAGAGGCACACCTGCTGCAGCACCTATGCTTTTAAAAGTTGCATGCCTCCTGTGTCCCATCACCCCTAAGCTCCCTCAGCAGCTGTAGTTCCTCAAAGTCCACTTTTCACCCTCCGTCCCCAGCTACCTTGACTTTGAAAATGAAAGCCTGTGGGGAGTTAGGAGGAGGAGGCTGCCCCAGGCTGACCTGGCTTCGGCCTTTCGTTGTGGTGACTCAGTGTCCCAGCTCCTGGTGAGCCAGGGCTCCTTTGTGCTGAGCTGCAGAGGCGAGTGGGAACTGCTGCTCGGTACCCAGGATCACACCTATCCAGCCCCCACCAGCCCAAGATGTTCCCAGTAGCCCTCTGCAGCCAGGGGCCCGGAGTTCCAGGCCAGGGAAACTAGGAACACGAGAAAGGGCTGGCTGCAGAGCCGGGTTGAGGTAGGCAGGGCCTTGTCTGTGCCCATCTTGTAGGTGAAGCAGTGGGTACCGAGTGCGCGTCTGCCTTCCTCAGGACGTCCCAGAGAGCAGAAGGCTGTGCTCAGAGTCGGCATATAGCCTGCCTTTAGCAAAAGTCCTTTTTGTTCTCTGCCCTCCCCTCCTAGTAGAGGAGGCCGGAGAGCAGGCTTTCAGGGTAAAGAGACGCCCCCTTATCCTGACTCATTGATGCACGGACACACACACACACACACACACACACACACACACACCACACCACACCCAAATACCACACACTCCACACCACACACACACACACACACACATACACACACAAATACCACACTGTATCCTGATTCATTCATATGCGGACACACATATTACACACACACACACATACACAAATACCACACTGCATCCTGATGCGGACACACACACACAAATATCACACACACCGCACTACACACACATACTCCACACACATACCCCAATCATACTACACACGACACACACACTTTACATACCCCAATCATACTACACACACACCACACACATACACACACACCACACACCCCATACACATACCGCCCCCATACCCCATTCATACTATACATGACTCACACACACTATACACACCCCAATCATATCACACATACACACACACACCAACCCCTGTTTCACACAAGCCTGGGTGTCCCTCAGCCTCTGTGTTCGAATCCTGGTGCTTCCTAAATAGATGTTAGTTTCCGATCGGGTTGTTGTTCTCACTCCAACCTGAGGTCACCATTGGGGGGGGGGGGCCCAGCACTTAGTGCATCTGTAGAGTCAGGTAAGAGAGGTTTTCCTCCATGTGTCCCCTACATGCATTTGACACACGAAGGCCCAGTATTTGTCATGGAGCTGCTGGTCTGCCTTCCTGGTTTCTTTTTTTTTTTTTTAAAGATTTATTTATTTATTATGAATACAACATCCTGCCTCCATGTGTGTCTGCACTCCAGGAGAGGGCACCAGAACTCATTATGGATGGTTGTGAGCCACCATGTGGTTGCTGGGAATTGAACTCAGGACCTCTGGAAGAGCAGTTGGTGCTCTTAACTGCTGAGCCATCTCTCCAGCCCCATCCTGGTTTCTTTAGTGTTGGTAAAAAATTTTTAAATGTGAGTGTCCTTAAAATTTATTCTCTTCACTGATTAGAGTTGTCATCCCAAATCAGTTCCCAATTTCAAAAATTTATTAAATGTTTATCAGTGCGTGCGTGAGTGAGTGCAATGAGTGTATAGGTCAGAGGATAGTTAGTGGTAGGAGATTTTTTCCTTCTGCCATGTGACTTCCAGGGATTGAACTCAGGGCATTGTATGACAGCAATGCCTTTACCCACGGAGACATCCTCCTGACTTCAGGTACCACTTTTTTTTTTAATCTATAAAATTTTAACATTTGGGTCTGACCAAATGACCCCTGTCAGGGACGGGCCTGCCGCCTGTGCCTGCTTTTGAGGCAGCATGAGGACCAGGACAATATCTAGGTCAGTACTGGTTCCTGCTGTCCTGGCTAGCTTGCTGAGTTCGTTACACCAGTTAGCCAGGGCCTCGGCACTCCAGTGAGCCCTGCCTAGTGGGCTTCTTGTACTGTTGCAGATGTGGCTGTGTTGGTAGCTTTTCCTCCTGAGTCTTTAGACATGTGCTTTCCCAAGCTTGGGTGACCCCCAGTCACACACTGTGGCTGCTTCCGAGGCTCCCTAGCTGGAGCAGTAGATAGAGGTGAATGGGGTGCAGAAGTATTTGAGTGACTTTCACGGGGCAGCAGGGTCGCCAGAGTTGGGTGGTGTTCAGATACCGCCTCTGTCTGCTCATAGTCAGAGAGATACCAAGCCCAACACTGACCTCCCCACTCAGCCCATCTGGTCTCCTCTGGCTTCCTGCTCAGCCTTCTGCTGGGTGTGTGCTGCTCCTGAGTGCTAGAGCTCTCTGGGGTGGCCGCCCCCTGACTTTGGAACTGTGCCCCCCAGGTGATGCAGCACCCCTCCGAGGGTGGCCAGGTGCTGAACCTCTGCAGCAGCATCAAAGAGGCCTCTGTCAAGGTGGCTGAGATCTGGATCGTCTCCCTGTCCAGCCAGCCCATTGACCATGAGGATAGTGCAATGCAGGCTGGCCCCAAGGCCAAGTCCACAGGTGAGTCCCTGCCTTCTTCCTCTGCCCGTGTGTGTAGGAGGGCTGTCCTGTTGTGCTTGGAGAAGGCAGGGGGATGATGTGTCTCTTGCATTTCTCTCTAGCTAGAAACTTTTGGAGAAAGTCAGTGTGTGCTGTTGAAGTTGTCGTAAGCTCTGTGTACCGCATTGTGTAGGTGTCATGGGGTCTGTCATGTAGTGCCCTTGATGCTCTGAACACCTGCGTTCTGGGTGTCCTGTGTGGGGCAGGCGCTCCACAGCCATGGTCTGTTGTTGCCATCACAACTGGGGTCACTGTATTCCCCTGCTCTCGGGTTCCGTCAACCCCACAGCATGTGGCCTGCTGTCCTTAGGCTCGGGGTACTCAGGGCCACAGCACGGGTGTCTCAAGTTCCCCTGGTTTCCCTGGGGCTGTCTCCTGGCAGCTCCCCTCTGCTCCCGGGGGGGCGTTCTGTTGCCGCCTCATTGCCATGGCATCAGGTGGAATCTAGAGGTCCCTGCCTTCTGTGTGCTCACTCCACAGATAACTACTCTGAGGAGGAGTATGAAAGCTTTTCCTCTGAGCAAGAAGCAAGCGATGATGCTGTCCAGGGGCAGGTAACAGTTTGAGCCTGAGGTGGGAGGGGCACCCGACAGCTCCCTCTCAAGAGAAGAGCTTGGGACTGACGGGCACTTCCCGGTGCTAGCCCATGCCACACGGGACGAGGAGGGCAGAAGAGATGTGTGGTACCTGGTTGCTTCCTCCTTGGGCCTAGGGCATGTCAGTAGGCAGCCCTGCTGGGCTTGGGAGTGTTAGCTGCTGACTGACGACCAAGTGACCTCCCTCACACTGCGTGGGTGTGGCGTGGGCCTGCTGTGGGGGGGGTGGGGCGGGATGGGCTGCGGCCCAGGCCCTGTGCACTGCCGTGGGGTGGGCGGGGCTGAGCCTCAGGCCCTGCGCATGTCTACACAGGATCTTGATGAGGATGACTTTGATGTGGGAAAACCCAAGAAGCAGCGGCGCTCGATAGTAAGAACGACGTCCATGACCAGGGTCGGTGGAAACTAGTTTTACTAACACTGGGGGAGGGCGAGGAGGGCGGGCAGCGGCTGGGCGGCTCACTGGAGGCTGTGGGCAAGAGAGCAAACAGCCTCTCCTGAGGACTTTAGCCTCGCGTGACATGTGGCCCAAAAGAGTCTTAGAATTCCCACTTGCCCTCCAGCCAGAAGCCTGTCTATCTAGCACCTGGCTGTTGTTAGTAAAAAATCCAGACAGGATTTTCTCCTGGCTACCATTTCTCATGCCCCACTCCAACTGTATATGGTCATGGAGCCTTGGGGTCTGTAACAAGGCTGGGCTAGCTGCCCGCACCCACAGACCTATATGTATAGACCATTGAGGGCGTTATTTTCCCCATCACCCCAGTGCTCAGACTCGCCATGTGTGGGGACAGCCTGCACAGTGGCCCTCAGTGGGCCCCGGAGCCCCTTAGAGCCCAGGACTGGCTGACATGGGTAGCCCCTTGCCAGTACTGACCAGGCACAGCACTGTCAGCCTTTGGCAGGTGAGGAGGAGGAGGTTGTGGGCAGACCACAATCGGGTCTCCTCTGAACACACGTGGCACCATCTGGAGCTCGTGGGCCAACCTGAGGGACCGTGCAGGAAGCCCCCGCCCCCAGGGTCAGCTCTGTAAGGGTGGCTGAGAGTTCCTGCAGGTCGGTGGCTGGAGCAGTGCCTGCAGCCACCAGTGTGAGCAGCTTCACTGAACTCACAGTGTACGGGTCCCATTGTTTCTTCCACCCTGTGCTGTCCTGAGTGCACTTCAGAAGATGAGGCAGGGCCCACCTGTGGGAGGTGGAGCTGTGGGAAGGTGCTGAGAGCCCAGAGAGCTGCAGAAGCTTCTAGAACTGCAGAGCCACCCTGTACCCTTCCCCGATTGCCCCTCAGTGGGTATGAACTATCAGACACCCCCACCCCCGTGTTTCTGAGTCTGGCCTCAGTTTATGCTTTCAAACACTAAGAATGTGCACGTGACTGCATTTACACCCAGTTCCCACGCTCGTAGATGTGAGCTGCATCCCCTCCTGTCCTTCATTATTGAGAGACAGAGTGCAATTCCTTTCTGTGTCCCAGGAATGTAGCCCCTCCCCCACCGTTCCTAATGTGAGACTCTTGTTCCTCTTGTCTTACAGCAGCAGAACTTCAAGCAGAAGGTGGTGGCTCTACTGCGCAGGTTTAAAGTGTCGGAGGAGGTGAGTGGGCCAGGGCGCCGCATGGCTGCTGAGTGCCCGGTGTCTGTCGTGTGGGGCAAAATGTGCTCCAGGGAAGCTCCAGGCCTGGTCTGGCTCTGCACTCACCGTCTGTGGTGTGGGGTATCGTCCTCTGCCTGCCAGCCTCGATGTGAGAGCCAGCAAGGAACCAGGCTCACGCACTGGTGTTTGTTGAACTGCCAAGTCCTGGTGCACCGGCAGGGAGACCAGCAGAGGGATATCATTGGTTCTTTAGACATTTGAGGGAGCAGTTTCAGGTTCATAGGAAAAGTAAGTAGGAGGTACAGAGAGTTCCCGTGCCCCAACTCCTGCTCTGTGGCCAGCATGTCACAGATTTTTGGTTTCTTAGCGTTTCTCTAATCCCCAGTCTTAGGTATTGAGTTTGTTCATAATCAAAAGAAAAATCACAAAGCAGTCAAAATTCTGGGCCCACAGTAGAGAGAGGACACTTGATCCTCAGAGTGTCACCCACCCTCTACATCACTGTATGCAAGGGCCACACCCCATCACAGCAGGGCCCCGGTTCAGCCCCGGGCCAGCTGTTGCTCTTCACATGTACAGGTATTGAGGGTGGCTCTTCTCAGCCATGGGGCTTTCTGTAGGGCCAGCGTCCACCCTGAAACATCACCGGCCTGTTTCCAGGAATAGCCAGTAGGCCCTAAATCTTGAAGTTTGCATCTCAGGCACACATGCGGCACACAGACAGACAGACAGACACACAGACATACAGACACACACACACAGACATACACACAGACATACAGACACACAGACATACAGACACACAGACATACAGACACACAGACATACAGACACATACAGACATACACACAGACACATAGACACACACACATACAGGCAAAACACCCATACACATAAAATAAAATAGTAATAATTAAAAAAGAAAATGCTGAGTTGAACATACATACATATTTTTCTTTCAAGTACATCCAAAGGATACTGTTGATAGTTAAGAGACTGAAAGACCACAGTACTGGCAGATTCTTATCTGGAGAAGGCTAAATCTTCGTAGACAGGTGGTGGCACACACCTTTAATCCCAGCTCTCAGAAAGCAGAAGCAGGCAGATCTCTGAGTCAAGGCCAGCCTGGTCTACAGAGCAAGTTCCAGTACAGCCAGGGCTATACAGAAAAAAAAATTTAGGGGACACAAATATTCAGATCTGAAGATGGAAATAATGCTACCTGAAAAGGAGGTGTAAGATACTTTACTGAGTATAGAAATCACTTACTGAGAAGCACTCTATTGTCCCCACAGCCAGGATCCAAGAGAGAGAGATTTACTTTCTCTTCCCCTTTTATTCCTCACCTGTCTCATGTACCCCTGTCCATGCCCCAAAGGGGCTTGGACAGCATCTTGGGTATGTGATCTTTCCCCTACACAGATCAAAACATTCTGCCCCTAGACCCCAAAATCCATTTTCTTCCCTCACACAAAATGTATTCATTCTATCCCAACATAAAATCTTTTTAAAGATTTATTTATTATGTATACAGTGTTCTGCCTGCATATATGTCTGCAGGCTAGAAGAAGGCACCAGATCTCTTTACAGATGATTGTGAGCCGCCATGTGGTTGCTGGGATTTGAACTCAGGACCTCTGGAAGAGCAGCCAGTCTTAACCACTGAGCCATCTCTCCAGCCACAAGCCCTTAAAATCTTAATTCACTCTAGCATCAACTCAGATTCTTAAAAACTATAGTGTCTGAGTACTGTCTGGATCAGTACTTGTCCGGGTATGAGCTCAGAGTGTATGCTTCAAAACCAGCTGTGAGACCAGCATAGGCCAGATACTCTGTTCTAAACGGAGAAAGTGGGAGTAGGGTAACTGCTCTCCAGTAAGTCCAAAACCCAGCAGGGAAAATTTTTTGTACATTTGTGTGTGTGTGTGTGTGTGTGTGTGTGTGTGTGTGTGTGTAGAGGTCAGAAGACAACTTGCTGAAGTCTGTTTTTTTGTTCTACCACGTGAGTTGCAGGGATCAAACTCGGGTCCTTAGGCTTGGCAGAAATTCCCTTTACTCTTACTTGACTCAAACACTGAATCTTAAATAAATAAATAAAAAGTATTGATTTATTATATAGGTATGATGTTTGCCTGTCTATATATATGTGCACTGTGTGCATATATCTGGTGCATCCAGAGGTTGGAAGAGAGCATCAGGTCCTCTGGACTGGAGTTAGATAGAGATGGTTGTGAACTGCCATGTAGGTGCTGGGAACTGAACTCTCTTCCTCTGCAAGGGCAGCCAGTGCTCTGAACTGCTGAGCTGTCTTTCTATTCCCCATACTTTGAATCTTAAGGTTATAAAACCCTTCTTTGGTTCAATAATCTGCTCCCAGGACACATTGGCTTGGAGCTGCGAATCTAGGGCCCGGAAGTGCACCCCACAGTATTGCTGGGTGCAGCCTGCAGTGCCTCAGATACCAGCTGTGTGCCTTGTGGCTCTCCCGAGCTGGCCCTGTAGCCAGAGACTGCGGTTCTGCCCCTCAGAGCACAACACTGTTGGGGCTTTTCTGTATTTTACGGCGGTCGGTCCTTTTAGACATGGCCCTGTCTCCATCATAGGCCTCTGCCTGGGACAGCGCCTCCTGTGATGGTGACTTTAATTATTTTTTTATTTTATTTTAAAGATTTTATTTATTTATTATGAATACAACATCCTGCCTCTATGTATGTCTGCAAGCCAGGAGAGGGTACCAGATCTCATAACAGATGGTTGTGAGCCACCTTGTGGTTGCTGGGAATTGAATCCAGGACCTCTGGAAGAGCAGTCAGTGCTCTTAATCTCTGAGCCATCTCTCCAGCTGATAGTGACTTTAAAATGACCGTGTTTCTGAAAACTTTGAGAGTTGGCAGCTGTAGGTGCTGCAGAAAGTGGCCTCCTGTGCTGTGTGAGGGCCTGACACACCTGTGAAGACTCAGCTTTGAGCCTCGGGCAGCGGCTTGACACCGGACTGCCCTCAGGACCTGGGCGTGGAAGCATCTGCGGGTCACCTCCCCCACCCTGTAGAGAGCTCCTCACTCCCCCACCCTGTAGAGAGCTCCTCACTCCCCCACCCTGTAGAGAGCTCCTCACTTCCTCACCCTGTAGAGAGCTCCTCACTCCCTCATCCTGTAGAGAGCTTCTCACTCCCTCCATGCATATGGAACTCTTCTGACTATTGTGACCAAATGGACTTAATTTTTAAAAATACTTTATTTTAACTGTGTGTGTATGTGCACATCTGTGTGAGTGTTTGTGCACATGACTGCAGTGCCCACAGGGGACAGGAAGGCATTGGGTCCCTGGAGCTGAGTTACCAAGAGCTGTGACTCCTGAGAGTCTCTGAGAGCAGCACACACTCTGACCCGGAACCCTCTCCACCTCCTGCTTTCACTCTCCAACCCGCTGTTTTGCACTTTTCCGAATCTTTAACACATGGTTCTCTTGATCCTATCTCATTTTCCCCCTGCATTTTATTATAAACTGTCAAGAGAGGTAACTTGGCTCCCTCCAAATTGGAGGCTTATTTTGCCAGATCCCTTGTTTTGTCATTTACAAGTTCTGTCTTCCATAAAATACCCAGACCCAGACCCTGCAAATCTACCAGCCTTTTTCTGCTTTGTTGAAAATGATCTTTCCTCCGGTTCCCAGAACCACATTCTTTTTCTTTTTGGGTCTGCTCTGTTTTTACCAGTGTCCTGTTCACCACCACACCACATGCAGTGACTCCTGCTTCTCTGTGCTGGTTTCCGCCTTCTGCAAGGGCCGATCTTCTTAGGCTGGGCAATGGAACAGCCAGCGTGTTTTGCTCATGGTTCTGGAGGCTGGAAGTCCAATATCAAGGCTCAGCGGATTCAGAGTCTGGGGAAGATGTGTTCTTCAAAGATTGTGTGTGTGTGAGTGTCTGTGTGTGTGTGTGTCTGTGTTCAAAGATTGTATGTGAGTGTATGTATTTGTGTGTGTGTGTTCAAGTGAGTGTGTATAAGAGTGTGTGTGTATGTGTCTATGTGTCTGCGTGTCCATCCTCACATTGGAGACAGGAGTCCACTCCCCCAGCCCTTTTCCCGTGGTCAGTAATCTTCTGAGAGTTCCACTCTCATGCGAGGCCTTCAGCATGCAGCTCAGAAGTTTCTCTGCATAGACACTCTGACGCCATCTCTGTGGGAAACACCTCAGACTGAGCCAAGCCTTGATCAGAATTTCCTGGGAGAACAGAAACACCATTCTACCAGGCCAGGAGGACTTTCTGGCAGAGAAGTGACTTGGTTGAGGGGATGATGACAGGGCTTCGTGTGCTGCCCAGGTTTGACTGCCTGTGCACTTCACAAGGTGTGAGCGCTGTGTGCTGACACACGGGGTAGTCACACCCTGAGGTGACCTGAAGTCTGAGGTTAGAGCGGTGAACACCGGGGATTGGAACGTGGCTCAGTGAGGAAAGCACCTAGGGCACAGACACAAGAGCCTCAGTTTTGTTCGCCAGCTTTTCTTTCTTACTCGTTTTGCTTTGGTTTTTATTCTTCGAGGCAGGGTTTCTCTGTATAACAGCCATGGCTGTCCTAGAACTCTGTAGACCAGGCTGTCCTTGAACTCACTGAGATCCACCTGCCTCGTACTCCCAAGTGCTGGGATCAAAGGTGTGCACCACTAAGCCAGGCTTAAAGGAAGATACTTGCTATCAGCTTCTGTCCTGTGAACACACACGCACACGCACGCGCACGCACACACACAGGGGAAAAGCAAACACAACTGATGTTTGGCAATTGCATATTGTGCTGTGGCGCTGTCTGTCCTGTTCCTGCCCCTCACCCACCTTTGCTAGCTCTCAGCTGCCATCCAAGCAGTGGCAGAGGCCCTCACACATGTCACTATTGCTGTAGGTCTTAGATTCGGAGCAGGACCCTGCAGAACATGTCCCTGAGGTGGAAGAGGACCTGGACCTTCTGTATGACACGCTGGATGTGGACAACCCCAGCGACAGTGGCCCTGACATGGACGATGATGACAGCGTCCTTAGCACCCCCAAGCCCAAGCTTAGGTAAGCCATGCCAGGTTGAAATACTCACTTTAATAAACTTGATCCTACACAGAAGGAATCCTGAGTAGCCTGGCAATGTTGTTCTGGAATGATCTGAGTTGCCCTGTGACTGTGACGCATGTTTAACCCTGGGGCACTGTGGGCTTCCCATAGGCTAGACTGACAGGGACATTGGGGCGAGGTTATAGTGGTTGGACAGCGCCAGTCAGCTCTCCCATGGCCAGAAGAGAAGGATGCCTTTGTAGAAAGGCAGGTGTGGAAAGGCAGAACTACTCCCAACCCATTGGAGCTCGGTCTGTGATCTTTTCACAGGGCAGAGTATTTCTCAGGGTGCCTGCATGTGCATTGGGAACTTCAGACAGGCAGAACCATCTGGAAGTGGGGAGGGGGAGTGTCTGGGAAAGGGCTTGAATTGGAAGGTTCTCTGTGAGGCCAGAGCTTGGTCCTTGAGGCAAGCTGTGGAGGGATAAATGGCCCCAGGTTGTCCCACTGTCCCACTGTCATCAGTTTTGAGGTATACTGGAAACTGCAGGGGTCTACTGTACAGGCAGCAGAGGGGAGTCCGAGCCAGCTCCCCTCCTTGCTTTGGCTGGGAGGACCGCTGGCCAAGCCTGGCCTAAGGCAAAAAGAGAAGGAGGGGGCAGTCCGCACACATGTGCCCTGTGGACATGCGGGGCTGCTGCAGAAGCTTAGCCCTTGGGGCAGGTAGTGTGTAGACTTGGATCTTGATGTAGCTTCTGAGAACAGGGAGACTCGAGATGTCCCAAAAAGCTAAAAACTCTTCATTTTTTTAAAGCTCTTAACCTGGACAGTAATGAGAGGCAGACACAAGAAATTTGACTCCTGTGTCTTACAATTAATTAACCATAATTCTCAGTGGTGAATAATTACCTATTACTGCTGGATGTGGTTGCTCATGCCTGTAGTCTTAGCATTTGGGAGACTGAGGCAGGAGGATTACTAAGTGTAAGGGCAGCATGGGCTATAGCTTGAGACATTGTTCAGTAAATAAAAAATAAATCCCAACATCTGTTATGCTCCCCGTTCTGGGGTGGCATCCTCAAGCCTGGGCTTCCTTTGTTTCTACCCTGTCCTGCTGGGCTCGGGTCAGGGTGTTGAGCGGCTGCCATGAGGGGAGCGCCCTCCAGGTCAGGCAAACTAGTGCCCCTTGTTCTCCTCCACTTCAGTCTCCTGGTGCTTAACCCTGGTCCTTCCTGCGCTGATCTTGTATTTTACTTTTCTTCTGGGTTCACATTGGGTCTACCCAGAGAGTCCAGATCCTCCCCATCATGAACCCCATGACATTAACTGTGGTGACTTAGTCCCAGACCAGCTAACCCTGTAGTTCTGGGGTGATGTGTGATCACTTTGGGGCCATGCACAGGGGACACCCTGCATCTCTAGATCTCTGCAAAGCTTCATCGCCCATGTGGTCATGCAGGTGTCCTGTCTGCTGTTTTAGCTTGACTTCTTTAAGTCTCTTGGTTTCTGCTTTCTTCACCTCCTGTTTCTTCCCTCTCACTTTACCTGCTGAGGACACACAGCATTGATCCAGGTTGGTCTGGATTGAGTCATGGCCATTCTGGAAATGGCTTTGTCGGGCTTGGTCCATTGTGGCCTGGGGGTGTCAGATCACCTGTGCTGGTCTAGAATCGTCTGGATATGTCTAGAGTGGCTTAGATGCTCTAGACCTGGCCATGGTGCTCTTGGTCTGTTGCTCTTCTGATTTCTGTGTTCTGGCTGTGGATCTCACATCAGGGGCAGCCCCCATTAAGAAAGAGCACGAGGCATCCTCTGCTCACACCCAACCTCCTGTGTTGTTGGCAGCCCTGCCTTGAGGAGGACACCACGAGCAGATGGGGTTCTCTTCTTTTTTTAAAGGTTTTTTTTTTTCTTTTCTTTTTTTTTTTTTTTTTTGGTTTTTCGAGACAGGGTTTCTCTGTATTGTTTTGGAGGCTGCCCAGGAACTAGCTCTGTAGACCAGGCTGGCCTCCAACTCACAGAGATCCGCTGCCTCTGCCTCTGCCTCCCGAGTGCTGGGATTAAAGGAGTGCACCACCAACGCCCGGCCAAAATTAAATTTTATATGGAAGGTGACATGCATGGGCACGGCATGAGTGTGGCGGTCAGAGGACAGATTGCTAGGGTTACCTGTCTCCTTCCCACTATATGGGTCCCAGGATTAAACTCAGGTCTTGAGGCTTGGCAGCAGGTGCCTTTACCCATGCAGCCATCTTGCCAGCCCTGAAGCACACAGTTTCTGCACTGACTTCATAGCCAGTGTAGGAGCTGTGCCTGCCTGGAGACCAGGATCCTGCCATGTGTGTAAGGTCCCCTCAGGAGTGGACGTTTCATCACACAGCTCTTCCGCACTGCCTGTTTCTTTGGATGTAGCTCTGTTCTGCTGTTGAGTCCCATGCTGCTTTCCCTTCTCTGTGCAGTGGGTTGAACCTCATTTTCCGTGTATATGGGATCTTGGGAAATAACATCTACTCCTTCTTCATCCAGGCCGTACTTCGAAGGCCTGTCACACTCCAGCTCACAGACAGAGATAGGGAGTATCCACAGTGCCCGGAGCCACAGGGAGCCTTCAAGCCCGGTGAGTAGGGCTGTGCTGGGCAGTGGTGAGACCCTTAGGCCAGGCTGGGCATCCATCCCATCCTTCCTGCTCCCGTGAGTCTGCACGCCTAGTCAGCATTTACCTAGCTGGGCTGTGATGTGTCCTGGGCTCCGGGTTCTGTCCAGTAGAAGGTGACTCTTCTGCTGTCGTCCGGAGCTCATAGTCTGTGAAATTGACAGCTGGTGTCCCTGGGCTTCCTCATTCTGCATCACAGCCCAATTCCTGTCTCATCACTGCAGGCTGATGTCCCTGAGAAGATGAGGTCCCTGGGAGGACAGCAGCCAAGCGACAGCATCTCTGACACGGTAGTCCTTGTAAGCAGGTGTGGGGAGCACTCACCATGTGCTGCAGGTGTACAGTGCACTCCACGTGCAGAGCTTTGTGTTCATTACTCTGAAAATGTGTGCTCAGGGCACCCTTGGCTCACCCTCCTTGGACATTGGCCGGGTAGCTCAGGTGGGATGGCTGTGTCTTTAGCCTTGCTATCAGACCCTGGCCTTCATGGAGTCTGAGATAACCTGCAGGGTGGGTGGGGTTTCCAGCAGGTTTGGTGCTGATCTCCTAGTAATAGTTGAACCAGAAACTACTTGTAGGAGGGCGGTACCTGAAAGGTTCAGGCATTACGCTGGCCTGCCCTGTTACCTGGCAGGATGCGCTCAGGCAACACTCTGGCCAGCCCAGAGTTCCGTGAGAACCAGGCAGGTACAAAGGACCCCTTTAAAGGACTGACCCCTGCCCGTTTACTCTCTCTTACTCCTCTTCCTCTCTTCCTCTCTCTTACTCTTTTGCTCTTGCTCTTACTCTCTCTCTCTCTCTCTTATCTCTCTCTCTGCTCCCCTTTTCCCTCCCCGTCCACCAATAAACTCCACGTGGGATCCTTGAGTCGAGGTCTGTGTCTCCTTACTGGATAAACCTAAACGTTTTAACAACAGTACCTCTCCTCTTGCCTCTATGTGGGTGTGCCTCATGCAAGACCTTAGGTCAGAGGAAGCCCGGAGCCTTACCCTAAACCAGGGCACATGGACAGGAGAGGTCTGGTAAATGTTTTTGGCCAGGTTGGTGCATATGGCTCCTTTTCGGTCTATCAGAGTTCGCCAGCCCCCCGGGAGCCATCAGGGCAACCTGAGGACAGCCCAGAGGCTGAGACCTCTACCCTGGATGTGTTCACTGAGAAGCTGCCACCCAGCGGAAGAATCACCAAGACTGAGTCGCTTGTCATCCCCTCCACCAGGTGTGGGTCTGTGCCGAGGGAACGTGTACCCTTGGGGAAGGGTTGTGGGAAGCCAGCTATTCGGGCCAACTTCAGACACTGCAGGTGGGTGCCCACCCGTCTGTCAGTAACAGCTGCCTCTGGCCATCTGCTGGCCTGCAACCGTAAGCTCAGTGTGCCCAAGAGGAGCCACCCACTTCCACCTTGCTGTTCTTGGAAGTGAGGCTGCTGAGGGCTCAGGGTGCTGGGGAGATCGCAGTGTCACATCTCAGGGTCTGCTGGGTGGGGGTGATCGCAGCTGTTAAGGGATAATTCAGTGTGCAACCTGTGGCAAACATTTGGCCTGCCACCCCAGCCGCTCTCCTCTGCCTTTCCTGGTCTCTAGCAGGTCAGAGGCAAAGCCAGCCGGCCGCAGGGGCCGGAGCACATCCCTGAAGGAGCGGCAGCCGGCTCGACCGCAGAACGAGCGAGCCAACAGCCTAGACAATGAGCGCTGCCCAGACACGAGGAGCCAGCTGCAGGTTAGGGTGGGAGCTGAGGGAGGATGAGCCAAGGCGCAGGCAGAGCACAGAGACCTGGGGCCCTGAGGACTGGGCAGACCTCAAGGGTTTGCTATGAAGCCCCTTGCAGGCAGGAAGGCAGCCATAGGTCCTCTTGTAGAAGCCTATTGACCTTAGGGCTAGTTTTAGCTGTCCTATTGCTCTCTCTGAATCAGAGCCACCCCAAGTGCAGCCACCCCAGACCAAGGGACCTCCATGTGAGGCGCTTCCTTACTTGCTCCCAGCCTTGGGGTGGGGTATTGAGGCCCAGGGCGGGAAGTTGAAAGGCCCGGGTGCTGGGCCTCCTTGTGAGGACACCACACTGTCTCTAGATCCCCAGGAAAACTGTGTATGACCAACTGAACCACATCCTTGTTTCTGATGACCAACTCCCCGAGAACATCATTCTCGTCAACACCTCTGACTGGCAGGGACAGGTAAGGGATACGGCCGGCGTGTGCCCCGTCTCCTGGGGACCAGAGACTTCGTGTGGCCTTGAAGAACACCAGTCCATGCTGGGGGAGTGGGGGCGGGGCTGATGAGCAGCTTTCCCCGGATACCTGTGGGCCCTGTGGGACCTGTGACGAGGGTTGGATAGGGACTGCCAGGTGCTATGCCAAGGTCAGCGTCAGCTTGTCCCTCTCTAGTTCCTCTCAGACGTCCTGCAGAAGCACACACTTCCTGTGGTGTGCACGTGTTCCGCTGCTGATGTGCAGGCCGCCTTCAGCACCATTGTCTCTCGGATACAGCGATAGTGAGTCTGCCATCCTTCCTTACCCGGGGCGCTACCCTTGGCATTTCTGCCTGAGTTCTCCATGGAGCCTTGTATCCCAGCCCTGCCTGCCCCTTGGAGACGGGATATTTGATCCTGAGAGTCATGGATGGTTCTGGATGTGCTGCCCGTAGACTCCTCGGGGCTTCATTCTGATTGCCAGTGGGCATCCTGAAGCTCATTTAGGGGTGGCAAGGGGGAGAAGCATTCTCTGGTGGGCTGCTTCCTTTTACAGTGATGATCCCAGCAGAGGCCCTGAGCACAGTCTTCTGGCCCAGGCATAGCCAGGCAGACATTCAGCTTCCCGCCCCCCAAACCCAGAACTCCTTTTGGTAGGGCATCCTGGGTCTAGTAGCTTCTGCGCCGTAGGGGGCATAGGCTTCCTAGAGCTCAGCAGGGTGATCCTGGGTCAGAGACAGTAACGCACCTGTCACTCTCTACCCCACCCTCTTCGGATCACAGCTGCAACTGCAATTCTCAGCCGCCAACCCCTGTGAAGATCGCGGTGGCGGGAGCACAGCATTACCTCAGCGCCATCCTGCGGCTCTTCGTGGAGCAGCTGTCTCACAAGACGCCTGACTGGCTCGGCTACATGCGCTTCCTCATCATCCCGCTGGGTGAGGGGCCTTGGGCTACTGGCCACCTGTGACTAACCCTGAGACCTCAGAGAGAGGCACACAGCCTGGTGAGGGTAGAGGTACCAATACGACTTGCTTCTGTTGTTTGAAGGTTCAGTTGTTTTCACTGTGTTGAAAAGTCACGTGTGCCAGATACAGTGTTATGCCTGTCACCCTAGCACTTGGAAGCTAAGGGTCAGAGGTTCCAGATCAGCCTGGAACCAGGCTGTACAGTAAGACCTAGTCTTACCGTCACTTTCTTTTCTTCTCTTTGACAAATGTCCTAATCATGTAGAATGTGTTGCAGGACAAACTAGTGGTCTGCCACAGACAACTCCACATGAGCTTTGGTTTCTGTCAGGGAAAATACAGAGCAGTCCTTATAGGTAGTGATGGCCCCGTGGACTTGAATCCCAGTAGCCATTTGGAGTTCTGTAGCGCGCGTGCTCAGCTTTATGTGAGGAACAGTAGTGGAGTTACGGCAGTGCCTCTCGCCCCCCCCCCCCGGGGCCCTTGTCTTTCCCCCTTCGTCCTTCTTCCTGCCGTCACCCTGGCTTCGTTCATCTCATTTGCCTCCCTGGTAGAGCAGCAACGCGTGAGGACTCTGTCCTAGCTCCCCCAGCAGACTGACACACAGCCGAGGGGCTCGGGACAGCTGGGTTGTCTGGGGTTGAGCAACTCCACATGGTGATGGATTTTCTGGGGCTCCCAGGCTCCCACCCTGTGGCCAGGTACCTGGGCTCTGTGGACTACCGCTACAACAACTTCTTCCAGGATCTGGCCTGGAGAGACCTGTTCAACAAGCTGGAAGCCCAGAGCAATGGTGAGGCCTGGGCATTGTGTTGGTGTGGGGGGCTATCCCATGCATCTGCGTTCCCTTGCATTGGAGAAAAGGCCCCTCCTACTGGAGACGCCCATCACAAGAGACCCTGCTTCTCAGGCTCAGCTGTAGGGAGGTAGGGGGTGTTTCGGGACTTCCCTCACCCAGCCTGAGTTTTAGCCATGCTGTGGGGTGTGACATTGGGAAGGGACAGAGGGCTCCAGAATAGGCCTTCATGATTTGAGAAGAAACACTGGCACCCACCCCCCAGGACCACTGTGGGTGGGCACTTGAGCCAGAGGCAGCCAGCAGAAAGCAGAGATAGAGAAGAGCCAGAATAGAGAGCCTGGGGCACAGCCCAGACCCTAGCAGACCCCACCGAGTCACCATGCTGACCCTCTGCCGCCTCTGCCTTGTGCAGTGCAGGACACACCAGACATCGTGTCACGCATCACCCAGTACATCTCAGGGGCCAACTGTGCTCACCAGCTCCCCATCGCAGAGGCTATGCTGACCTACAAGCAGAAGAGGTAACATGGTGGGCCAGGGTGGGGTACCCAGCCCCTCTGCTCATGGAGTCTGTGGGATAGATTCAAGGGAAAACCTGAATGCCTGCTTGGCAGGAGCCTGCAGTGAACCAATGTCGAACCAGAATACCAGGTTGGGGTTTTAGAACCTCTCGTCTTTGTCCATGTTAACCTTCTACGTGATGTAGTAACAGGCACTTGTTCCTGTAGTCCTCACATGTGGTCCTGTGTCTTCCACGTGGCTCCTTCCTCCAGGTTCCCTGACCCTGGCTTTGGCCTCTGGGTGAACAGTCAGATCATGTGCTCAGAGTTGGGCAGTGCTCAGGGGTTATGTGTGAAAGATTGGACAGAATGGATCCTTCCTCCCAAGAAGCTGAGGACCCTGGGCATGGCCTCCTCCACACTGGATCTTAGGGAACTGAGCATCTCTTTCTTGGCTCAGACCCCTGGGCAATCTACCTGTCCTAGTTAGGGTTTCTAATGTTGTGAAGAGACACTATAACCATGGCAACTCTTATAAAAGAAAACATTTAATTGGGTGGCTTACAGTTCAGAGGTTCAGTCCATTATCGTCATGGTGGGACATGGCAGTGTACAGGCAGATGTGGTGCTGGTGAGGGAGCTCCGGGCCATACATCTTGATCCAGAGGCAATAGGCTGTGGTCCGAGCCTAAGGTAACCTCCTCTTTGGTGTCCAAAGTGGGCCCAGCACCCTGCTCAATGACAGCAAAGTTCTGAGTCTCTTTAAAATGCATTCAGCAGCGTCCCCAGACTGAAAGATGGTTGAGTGCTGATCCAGTGTAGTAGGTCAGCAGGAGTCCAGCCTTGCTTCCTGAGGCCTCCTGGTGGCAGGGGCAGATCCTCTAGGAACACTCACCCCCCGCCCAGTTGCTGCCCCAAATCAAGGTGGATGAAGAGCCATGCAGACCACTAGGAGTCACTCTGCTCCTGCCTCAGTGTGTGGAGAACTTGCTGCTGTTTCTGGGGGTCCTAACGTTTGTGTTTTCTCTCTTGGTGGCTTTCCAAAAAGGAAAAAGCATTTTCACTTTGACTTTACCCTGAGGTACAGCTCTCTGGCCTATCCCCTGTCTGTCTTTAGGCTGCTCTTTAGGGCTTGTTTAGTAGGACCATTGCCAAGTACCTCTCCTCTGATGTCCCAGGCAGGATACCTGTTCCTCGGGGAGCAGGAATGAACCCCTTTTGTGGGAGAGCTGCAGATGGGTCCGTTAGCCCATGGAACCACTCCAAGGAGTTTGTGCTCCTAAAGCCCCTTGTTGAACTAAGCTTGTGTTGCCCCTGGTGCTGGCGTCTGGACCCCCCATGCTGGCCTTGCTCCTCTCACTTAACGGTAGCAGTAATCTGGCCACACACGCAGCCTCAGAAGGCTGGGCACCACCAGGGCAGGTCCTGAGTTTAAGAGTGTGGTGGTTAAGAGGCCAGGGAGCTGGCACAGTATGGCAGGTCCCTTAGCCACTTTCTGCACTGTAAAATCTCCTCCCAGGACCAGTAGAGGCAGAGAGGGTTTGTAATGTCTTTTCTAGTTTCTTAGAGAGGCAGCCAGGCCTCCCTAAGTAGAGGTAAAGTGCTTTTCTTCCTGGGAAGGCTTCACCCTCTGAAAGCTTGACTACCCTCAGGTACCCTGAGAGCTTCCCTTTTCCTTCCTGAGGGGGTCCTGCCCACTGTTTGCCACACTTGCCTCAGTGTCTGTTCTCCTGGGAAGAGTGTCCAGGACACAGTCAGGGTCCTCATCACTGGTAGTGCTACCCACTGTCCAAGCCAGCAGGACAGAGGAGGTCTGTAAATACCAGTTTTCCTGCCGGGCGTTGGTGGCACACGCCTTTAATCCCAACACTAGGGAGTCAGAGTCAGGCGGATCTCTGTGAGTTCGAGGCCAGCCTGGTCTACAGGTTGAGTTCCAGGATAGCCTCCACAGCCACAGAGAAGCCCTGTCTCGGGGGAAAAAGAAAAAACACAACAACAACGTATCAGTTTGCCCTGCTAAACAAGCCCTGTGTTAGAGAAAGACCAGCCTTCAGACCTTTCCTGCCTTGAGGCTTGGCCTGTGCCACCGCTGCAATGGGAGGAGCCTGCAGCATGCTCTTCTGTGCTGTCCTTACATCTAGCAAAGCCAGGCTGGAGAGCTCTCCCCTCCATGCCTCCCTCTGCCTGTGATACAGTAGTGACACCCGCACGAGGTGGGCGCGGGTGCCTGCAAGGAACCAGTGAAGGCCCGTGCAGCCGGCCTTCTCTGTAGAGCTCTGGCAGGGTGTGCCTGCTCCTGCCTGCCTCTTACCCGAAGCTGGGAATGCAGCTTGTCCTCGGGTGGCAGCGGAGCCCTCAGGTCACGCCGGGACAGCACTGCTGCAGCCTTCTGCTCTGGTGTGTGTGGGAGGAACCGTCCTCAGGCTCAGGCTCCGTGTCTTTGGCATCATGGCAGGTGTTGGGAACAGATCAAGGGCGTGGTTCTTAGACTTCTGCAAGCACCTGTGCTGCAGGCCCCGGCTGCCTCTGCATCCAGGCTCTGGTTAGCCCGCTAGTGTCACTGCTGTTGCACCCGTGCTGGTGCTGTTTGCATGGCCCAGGATGCAATGTGGCCCTGGTGTCATAGCTGCTTTCCCTACGCTAGTTCTGTCTGCATGACCCTGGGTACAGCTTGGCTTTTGAGTTCTGGTAGCTTTTCCATGTTGCAATGTCTCCTATGTCTTGTCACACATGGCCTTGTCAGCCCCCACTCTGTTCCCGAGTGTCTTAGAGTGGACCACAGACAAGAGGCTGCTCTGCCATGGTCCTGGAGGGCTCTACAGAGTGTGGGTAGCCCAGTGAGTTAGAGCCCTCCACAGCGGGAAGCACTATGTTTGCCTGCCTTTTAGAACCTTCTGGGCCTGACGTGTTGTGTGAGCTGGACAGGCAAGGGCAGATCGAGGCCAGGAGTCAAGTTATTAGGGATAGACAAAGAGGAGGTTTCTCTTGCCAGAGCTGCCAGGCCTTTGGGTGTGGGGAGGACAGAGAAAGGACCCCCCCATATGCTACTGGTCTATCGTGTGCGTGCACTGTGAGTGGGAACAATGGAAACAAGCCCCTGCCCACCAGGGAGATGGGCTGCCAACCCTGCCCACCAGGGAGGTGGGCTGCCAACCCTGCCCACCAGGGAGATGGGCTGCCCCTGCCCACCAGGGAGATGGGCTGCCAACCCTGCCCACCAGGGAGATGGGCTGCCAACCCTGGAAGCTCATGCCCAGGACGCACACCTCCCAAGTTCTGTTTCCCAGGGAGATTGCGCTGAAAACCATGGCAGGCTACCCCTGCTGCAGTGCAGCACCTGAGGGATCCAGGGAGCCTGGGTCCAGGGAGAAGCCCTTCCTCTCAGCCCTTGGCCTGATGTGCTCGTCCATCTCTGCAACAGGCGCACTGGCACCCAGCACCAGTGTGAGGAAACAAGATGGAGAAATGACTCCGCTGGCACGCTCCTCGACCAGGGTGTTATGGGGAAGGGCAGTCAGGAAGGCACGGAAGAAACAGGGCTGGCCCACCACCATAACTAGCCCTGCTGCCAGTCCTTCCAAGAGATGCAGAGGGACACACTCTGACTGCTGATGAAACCGTGTGCCCCAGGCTGAGGCTATGTATATGGGAGACTGGTTTTCAGGGGGCCACATGGCTAGCCCTCATGGGCAGTGCAGGGGAGGAGCACAACAAATGATTTTTCTTCTCAGCTCCTGACCTCAGACCCTTGGCATCTTCTTGGTAGATAGGCCATGACTACCTTCTGGGACAAGCTCCTGTTCTCCTGTTCTGCAAACACTATACTACAGAGTCAGGTTCACATAGTACCTCATCCAGTCACTACACTTGGTCAGCTATTCAGACTTGTCCCAAGAACCCTGCTCGTGCCTCGGGCCACACTTAGATGTTACCGTTAGGACCTAGCATCTCCACTCCGGCACTTTAGCCAACACTGTGACTTCTATAGAAGCCAAACTTCACTCCATGGTTTTGGTAAGGGCAACCCCAGTCACTGGAGAAAGCCCGGTTCTGGATTCTGTAAGGCATGCCCACAGAGCAGGGAATTGACTCAATAGGCCTGGAAACAGGCAGATGGACAGGGCAGAGCAGGATACAAGCCATTTCCCTCAAGAGTCACAAGCACACCAGCTTCCTCCCCGGACTCAGAGACCCTTTGCTTAGCATTATGTTGACATATGGAAAAATATTCAAGTATCAGCCAGGTCATCTGGAAGCTTTCTGTAGTGACAGAGTGTTTATGGGCAGGCGATGTAGCTGAGGGCCATGGTGGGAAGGGGCTCGGGATGAGTAGGCGGGGCTCTGGGCTAAAGGACAGCTGAGATTGGGGTACTCCAGAAGGGGAGTCTAATAGTCTTTTTTCACTCCCAGCCCTGATGAAGAATCCTCTCAGAGGTTCATTCCCTTTGTTGGGGTGAGTATCACCAACTTTTCTCACTGGGAACATGCCTGCCAAGATCCCTGTCAGTGTAGAGTGCTTTAATGTTAGCTTACACGTACAAGACCCTTCCTCACCGTGTGAGCCAACTGAGGACTGCTTAGTCCCTCTCGTAAATCCCCCCGGGCTTCCTTCCTGCATTTTTTTGGTCTGGGAGCTTTTGGTTACTGTAACGAATACATGGGAGTATAAGACCCTATTCTGGGGGATATGTGTCAGGCTGTCAGCTCGGCACTCAGGCAAGGAGGCTCAGCCGTCTACAAGGTAAGGATGAGGCTCCTGGCAGGTCAGCTTTCTGGCTGTGAGACCTCCAGAGCAGCATGACACTTGCTGTCCAGGCAGCGACACTATCTCTATAGCATCCTATCCCGAGCCCTTTCTGTAGTGACAGAAGTGCCCCATGGGTACCTGGCATGGCTGAGACTGGATTTGGTATCGTAATTCACTCTGAAGTGACACAGCTTCATGTGGCTAATGGCACCATACTGGATGGTTCAAGCCTGAAGCACTCTCCCCCTGGACCCACACAGTCTCGTGAAGCAGCCCCTGCTGCTGCATCCATGTCTCTCCTGCCAGCATCCGAGTCTGATGGTATCTAGGACTGACCAGTCACATGCACATGGGATTTGCCACTGCCCAGAGCTGAGCCACGCCCCATAGATGGTGCCACTGCCCGGAACTGGGCCATGCCCCGTAGATGGGAGGATGCTGGGACCTGTTTCCTGTTCTGTGGGCACAGAAGCTGGGTGGCAGCAGGGACATAAGAGACAAGTTCCAAGGTTGCGGAAGCAGAGCGGTAGGGATACTCAACCTCCTCGCCTGCCTCTAGCCAGCATCTGTTGCTCCCCAGGTCGTGAAGGTTGGAATTGTGGAGCCGTCTTCAGCTACATCAGGTAACGTCCTCCCTCTCTGAGGACTGTTGTGTGGCCCCTGGATAGGTGGTCCCTCTGTCTCAAGGACCAGCAGATTTCTGCTGATTCTCTACACTCCCAAACCCTCAGATCAAGGCAAACTAGTCAAGAAAGATAACATCCTGCCCCCACATAAGCTACTCTGCCTGCCCTACCTCCCCAGCCCTAGTCCAGGCTCCATCCCGCTGTGGGGCAGACTAGGCAGCTGTGTGACCACTGCCTGTGATTCCTCCCCAAAGGAGACTCTGATGACGCAGCCCCCTCAGGCTCCAGCGTGCTGTCTTCTACCCCACCATCTGTGTCTACATCTCCTGCGGCCAAGGAGGCCTCACCGACCCCACCCTCCTCCCCTTCAGTGAGTGGAGGCCTGTCCTCCCCCAGGTAAGCAGTGTGACTCACTTTATTTGCTCTAAGGTGACATCTCCCCTACGTGTTACCCATCTTATCAGAGCAATAACGGGCAGATGCTGGTAAAGGAGCGGTGGGGACCCGTGAGGGACACTCAGGTCCAGTTGCCGTGGAGCAGTGTGGGAGGCAGATGGTGACCTCAGTGCTCCTTGGGACAGGAGTTACCATAGATGGACGTGAGGCTCACTGAGCCTGCAAGCTCTGCACCAAGTGGGCATTAAAAGAGGGACTGAGGGGGGGTGCAAGACACTGCTGTTTAGGCCCCACACAAGTGAGCTGAGTCCTGCCAAGCCACCTGAGTCTCGAGCAGGACTCGGACAACCAACGTGAACTGGGGAGTTTGAGTCCATGGTGAACATGGCCTTAAGGTCCTGCCGGGGCCCCTCTAGCGCTGGCGCTCACTAGCCCCCATCTCTGCTGGAGCATTCATCTGGACCTAGGAGAGGAGGTGTGCCGGTCCCACGCAGTTTTGCCAGGGTCACGGGCACTCACAGTACCTAGAAGACAAGTGGGCATTTGGCTGTGCAGAGCTTCTCATAGCTCACTGGCACTGGCCAGCAAGTTAGTAGATAAGGTGCTAGCCACAGCTCCTTGCCTACAATGGCGCAGTGACGTCATGGGTGTGCGCACTTCCCTCTGCCTTTTACAGCCAGGGCATTGGCGCAGAGCTCATGGGGCTGCAGGTGGACTACTGGACGGCGGCACAGCCTGCAGACAGGAAGAGAGATGCCGAGAAGAAGGACCTGCCCACCACCAAAAACACGCTCAAGTGCACTTTCCGGTCCCTCCAGGTCAGCAGGCTGCCCAGCAGTGGAGAGGCTGCAGCCACACCCACCATGTCCATGACCGTGGTCACCAAGGAGAAGAACAAGAAGGGTGAGGTGGGAATGTGCCAAGCAGGGCTGCACGACGGGAGAGAGGTCTCTGGTGCTTACCGGTGATGGGGTACCATCCCCTCGCCCCCCAGCAAGTTCCTAGTAAATTCATGATCGTGAGCCCACGCAGCCTCAAGGGATTGGCAGTCAGACATGCTTTGACAGCTGTGGCCTTGAGCTGTGGGGACACTGAGGTCCTGGGCAGCTTCTGGCTTCAGGTGGTATGTCAGGCAGGGTATGTGGTCACAGCAAGAAGGTGACTCCCAGGTGAGCAGGGGCCAGCCAAGTCCCCATGGCTACTGTTCTCCCGTCCTGCTTGCTGCTGGGGCTCTGGCCAGCTTGGCTCTGAGGGAGCAGCAGATCAACAGCAGGGCTCTTCTCTTCCCAGTGATGTTTTTGCCCAAGAAAACCAAGGATAAGGATGTGGAGTCTAAAAGCCAGTGCATCGAAGGCATCAGCCGACTGATCTGCACAGCTAAGCACCAACAGAACATGCTTCGGGGTGAGCATGGGCGGGGGCTGCTCCAGAGGGCGCTGGGGGATTAGTCGGTGTCCCTGGTCCTTTTTGAGTCTGTCTGTAAATGAGACTGCAGAGCAAACAGATGGCTGGCTTTCCAAGCCCAGCATGGGAACCAGTTGTTTTGCTATAAAAGGCATTCTTACACATGGTGGTAAGGTACTTGAATGCATCTAACAGCCTTTCAGGCTCAAATAATTTCTCATCCTTCTCGGTGTTTTTACTGATGGAGATATGGTAGGGGCTGCTGGAGATCAAACCTAGGGTCTCATGCATGCTAGGCAAATGCTCCACCATTGAGCTTTATCCCAGTCCTTCCTTTCTGCATTTTGAAGATTGGCTTAGCCAGGCGTTGGTGGCGCACGCCTTTAATCCCAGCACTTGGGAGGCAGAGGCAGGTGGATCTCTGTGAGTTCGAGGCCAGCCTGGACTACAGAGTGATTGCCAGAACAGGCTGCAAAGCAATACAGAGAAACCCTGTCTTGAAAAACCAAAAAAAAAAAAAAAAAGATTGGTATGTATATATATATATATATATGTATGTGTGTGTATATATATATACACACACCTAAGTGTCTTACGGAGGCTATTCTGTAAGCATCACACTCAGTGTGTAGGACTCCTGGGTCTCTCTGAGTTTAGGGTCCTTGAGTCTTCCTAAGGCTGCCCCTGGAAATGGAGGTATTTTAAGTAGGGCCCTGTGAAGAGGAGATGACATAGATGAGCCATGTCTGGATGAAGTATGACTTAGACTGCCCTTGCCACTGGTCCCCTGGAAGCTGGAGCCACCATGCTACTGAATCTTAGGAGGGCAGGTGGGAGAAAGGGCCCGGAAAGCATGGTTTCCTCCAGCTTCAGGATTGCCCTGCCCCTGGCAGCAGCCCACTATCTCCGGTGGTTGCCTCGCCAGGCAGGCAGACGTTTAGGTGGTCCTCTTCCACAGTCCTCATCGATGGCGTGGAATGCAGCGACGTCAAGTTCTTCCAGCTGGCTGCCCAGTGGTCTTCCCACGTGAAACACTTCCCTATCTGCATCTTTGGACACTCCAAGGCCACCTTCTAGTCCCACCCATGGAAGGGCTGCCACAGGACAATGGCTGCTCTGCATCAGCCATTGCTGGAGAGACAGATGCGTTTCTGTTAACAGGTGGTTACTACAGAGACAGACTCTTAAAAACACAAAGAAGCGGTCTTAAGTGTGAATGTGCTCATAGCCCAGAAACTGTGGGGAAGCTAGCTCTCCACGGGCCACCGAGTAACTGCTCTGCTTATTAACCAGAATATGTGGGCACTAGAAAGGCTAGTGAGGAGGGGGTGAACTGTGGTCTCATGAACCCCAGATCCACAAGCAAGAAGTGTTCTTGCCGTTGTGTCCTGTGCTTCCTGAAGTCAGGATGCTGCTTTCTCGGGGAGTAGGAGAGGGAGTCTAGTGGCCAAAAGCTGGGGGTAAAGGGCATGTTGGTCTCGTAGCATGGGATGTTGACCCCTGACACCCCAGGCGTGGAGCTTTTATAGTAGCAGATCTTTCTGATGCTCTCAACTACATTTGACGACGTAGCTGCCAAGCAGATGTCGCTCCTGTGAAGTCCCCTTGGGTGGGGCAGAGCCAGCAAGAGCCACATACCCACCCCTGCCCCTCAGGCTCCAGTCCCAGAGGCACTGCTAGGCTTCTGCGGATCCTGCTGCTCAGACAGGTGGTCCTTGCAAATTTTCCAGTGTCTGTCCTGGAAATGGGAGACACTGCTGGGGTCCATCCGAGGCCTGCTCTACCATGCCCTTCCACCTCTGTTCTGCCTGCTGGACAGGAACGTCCAGGACTGGCTGTGTGGGGTCCGAGTTGAGAATCAAGGTTGTGAACTGGAAACAGGCAACTAGAGGTGTGCGTGTGCACGAGTGAGTGTGTGTGTGCATGTGTGTGCTCAGTAGAGCCAGTGAAGGCTCTAGCAGACTGGTCTAACTACAGACACTATCCAAGGGACTATCCAAGCCAAGCTCCTCAGGGCCACCTGGACCCCATTCCTGGAGGCAGTTCCATCCTCCACCATCTCCCCACTCAGTGGGAGAGGGATGTGGTAGCCTACAGCGAGAACCACCCTGACTGTAGTGCCCCCACCAGAGTCATGAAGGGGTCACTGCCTCAGTCCTCATTTTCTCAAGAATCCTTTCTCCCAGGGGTGCCAATTAGGAGAGTGCCTGCCCCCTTGGAAGCTGTGGCATTTCCAGACACCCTGGTGGTCAATTTGGGAGCTCTGTGTTTGGTGTCTTGACATTGAGAACTTCCTAAGTGTATGCTCAGAAAATTGCCAAGAATGGAGCAGGCTGAGTTTGAGGACTCCTCGCCCTTCCTGGGGTGAAAGATGGTCACTGTGATACTTGGAGCTTGAGAGCCTGGCTTACCTACCCCTTGAGTTTCTTCCCAAACCTTGGTAGGAAAGATTTGCCCAGAATTCTAGCCTTGAGGCCATGGGGAAGGGGGCAGGTCAAACTCATGCCTGAGGGCACCCCTTTCCAGAAGAACTTCCCTTGATTGGTTCCAGAGGTCTGACTGTATGTACAAGAGGAGGGTGTGGGCAGAGCCTCTGTCCAGCAGCTGGCCCAAGGCGAAGTCAGTAAAGTGTAGCACCTGAGCACCATGCACCCACCACCATAGCAGTGCCCCGTGCCTCAGTTTCCCCATTGGTTAAAGAGATGGTCCATTTTCCTTGCCTACCTCATGGAGCTGTGATGAGGACTCATAGAGAAGCACTTTTGTCCCTTTGAAGGATGACTAGACAGACAGACGCCAAAGCCCCGACAGGCAGTGCAGTAGCGAGGACAGCAGTGTGTGCATGCATCCGGCCTTAGCCCCCTGAGGTTCCTCTGAGGCCTGGCTACACAGCCTGTGTGGATGGGAATTTCCACTCCTTCCTGTCAGTTGAGGGCGCTGCCTCTACCTTCAAGTTGGTCCCTGCCACCGCCCCCCACCCCCCAGTACGCAGCTCAGTATCACTATGGTGTCAGAGCTGGGAGGGGAGGGGTGGCCCTGGCTCCTGTGCAATGGCTTGTCCTAGCCTCATCCCGCGGGCCTCACTTCTGCCTCTGTCCTCCATCTCAAATGAATCCTTATACAGATGTCCCGGTATTTCTGCCCTGAGCCCTGCTGGACCCTCACTTGCTCCCCAAACCCCCACGCCCTCTGGAGACTGCTCTGTCCTGGGGAGGGGCCAGCGGAGGCTGACGACCTTGCGTGAGAATGACTCCGTCCACTTCTGAAGACTCCAGCGCGCTGTGACTGATTTCTAGGGTGTGTGTATGTGTTGCTAGTTTGTTTTTTAATGGAAAGCAGGATTCATGTAAATAGCTTTTCCGGGAGCAGATGCTGATCTGTCCCATGCGACCATGTGGACGATTTCAAGGTGCTGAAGCGACACTAATAAACTGACGGCGCTCAGGCCGCCCACTGCTGTGACTTCTTTCTGTGTTTTGGGGCCACGCGGCTGGGGCGCTGGGGCGCAGGCGTCGAGGGGCGGGCGGAAGCGGCAGCGGAGGGCGGGGTCTGCAGAACGGAAACTCCGGTCCGCCCTCCCCTCTTCCTTAGGTTTCTGTCCTTGGCTGTCTCTGGATGGGCCCGAAGGCTCCACTAGGTTGGCCTCGCATGAGTCCGAGGTCGCCGCCATCCTACAGAGTCCGCCTGGCCGCTTCATCTGTCCGGACCCAGTTGGGCGCTCGCAGCCCGCGGCTCTCCGCTCCCTGTGTACACCCTTCGGAGCCTGGCCGCACCGCCTCGTTTGTCCGCAATCCTACTGACCCTTCCCTTCCCGGTGCCCCCTGAGCCCGCTCCGGAACTCCCGGGGCGAGCGCTGCTCCCGCGTGGGAGCGGGTGCCCCAACTCCCCACATCTCAGCCCTGCCCCTCAACTGACTTCCCCAGTTCAGGCCGGCGGAGGGGGTGGGAAATGAGAGCTCCAAGTGACAGGAGGGCGGCGGTCTGAGAGCAGAGAAGGGGCGCATCTACCTCTCCTGGGCGACTGATGTCCCGGGGGAAGGGGGCACTGCTCGTGTGGAGGGCAGTGGCCACAGGCGCTGGGAAGGGAAGCCACGTGCGGGCCCCTCTATTTGGCAAGAGTGGTCGCTGGCTAGAAGGTGGCCCTAGCAGAGCCTTGGGGTCGGTGTGGCAGCCAGCGCCCTGGGTGTGCGAACTGCAGCCCGCCCGCCGTAGGTAGAGATGGACAGCAGGCAGGCGCGCCCCCAGAGGAAGACGCTACAGTGGCAGCTCGCTCAAGAGCAAGGGCAGCAGTCCCCGCCACACCACGGGCCCCCGGTCCAACCAGACACCAAGAGCAACCCCCAGGAGGACCTGCAGACCCAAGACTGGGTGAGCAGTAGGAGGCTTTCAGATGGACTGGTTGGGGAGGGGCACGGAGAGGAGAGGACTGGGTGGGTTGACACAGACATGCAATTTCCGGGGTCCTCTTTCTCCAGCCTCTCTGGCTGAGTCTGGGGGTAGACTCCCATCCCTTTTGCTTCCTCTGGCGGACACCGAGGAGGGATTGGCCGCGGCCGGGAAGAATGTGCCACACATTCCTACTCAGCCCTCCCCAGTGGGCCCCCAACTCTCAACCAGAGGGTGTATCATTAAGTAGGAGGAAGAATGAGGCCCCACAGCAGGGGAGTTCCCTCTCCGGATAGGTGCTGGCCCTCACTGAGGTGTACGCGGCAGCCCAAGACAGTAAGCAAACCATGATCAGCCCACTGGCGCTGGATAGCGGGGCAGAGACAGGCCCGACTGTGCAGACCCTAGGACACTCCCTGAGCAGAGGAGATCGCGCTGTCTGTGGTATAGTTTCCACTGAGGAAGAGTTCAAAGCCAGACCACATCAGTCAAAACTGGCCAAAACTCACATGTTGGTGGTGCTTTGGTTGTGGAAGCAGCCACGGGAGCAGGCACTGGCCTGTATGCTTATCTACCTGAGTACACGCTGGTAAAGGTAAAGAGAGTAGGCTCCCAAGGCTGGTGTCGTGGTTCACACACAGAGGAGGCAGGGGTGGGAGGGCTACAAGTTCAAGGCCAGCCTGAGCTACTTAACAAAACACGGTCTCAAAAAAAAAAAGAAAGAAAGAAACATAGCAACAGGACTGGAGGTTAAGAGCACTGGCTGCTCTTCCAGAGGTCCTGAATTCAATTCCCAGCACCCACACGGTGGCTCACGGCCATCTGTAATGAGATCTGGCGCCCTCTTCTGGCCTGCAGGAGTACTCGGAGGTAGAACATTGTATACATAATAAATAAATCTTTAACAAAAACAAAAAACTAGCAGCAACAGCGTTAAAGAGTGGGAAGAGTCATCTGCATGACTGACGACCTCAGCATGTCCTCTGGGCCCCCAGGAAGGTGACAAGTGTTAAGACCTGACCTCTACAATGGTAACCTGTCGGACCCTCGGCTTTCATGAGGCCCGAGAACGTCTCATACGGGCATTCTGGGTTGTGAAGGCTCTAAAGCGTCACCGGTCGGGAGAGGTTTGCTCAGGAAGAGGGACAGCTGGCGAGATAATGGGGGAGACGGGCTGAAGGGACTCCAGGCTCCAGGTTGGGGACAGAGGGAGAGTCACTCCAGCGTCTGCCGCGCCTTGGCTCCTTTTGGGGTCAGCTCCGATCTGAAGCTCCGCTGCCTCTTCCTCCCACAGTTCTGGGGCCCTGGTGGTGGCTCTGGACTCGAGGGATGTCCGGGCCGCCTTCCCTAACCTTGTCCTGTGTCAAGTTGTCTCCCTTGGTATGGACTGTGCTTGCCCTGGTCTCCCCTCGGCTGGCTCTGCCTCCCACAGAGCTCCTGACCTAACTAACATAAGAGTCCTTTGTTCCTCCCTCCCAGGCCCAGCCCTTAGGGTCATTTTCTTTGCAGGCTGTCTGCAGCCCACGAAGACACACATGGTGCCTCAGAGTGCAGGGACCTTGGGCAGAGGGTCTTTATTTATTTATTTTTTTGAGACAGGGTTTCTCTTTGTATCTTTGGAGGCTGTCCTGGCACTCACTCTGTAGACCAGGCTGGCCTAGAACTCACAGAGATCCGGCTGCCTCTGCCTCCTGAGTGCTGGGATTAAAGGTGTGCTGCCACCACCACCACCCGACTTTATAGGTATCCAGGTCAGCCACAGTACAGTCCTTCCTGACAATCTGCCTGGTATGCACTGAACCCTGGAGGGGAGCAGGCAGCAGGCTTGGGGTGGCTCTACACTGAAGCATAAGGGACACCTTCCTTACCTGCCCCCGTCCCCCGAAACTGTGAGCAGCCAGCCAAGGAGCACCAGACATGCAAAGCCAGCCTCATGCAGAGACCCTGTGAGCGTCCCGGTTGGTCCAAGAGTCTTCAGGGCTCTCACGCAGTGTGGTGTTTGGGAGTCAGCAGCCTCCATAGCCACAACTGCAGACAGGATGGACTGGGGAAGACAGCCCTCACTTTTCATAACAGCAGTAAAACTCAGGAAGTACGCAAAGCCTACTTGAGATGAACTTTACCTACTCTCCCCCCCCCCAAAGAATTACAAAGACTTAAATGATAGGAGAGAGACACTGTGTTCCTGGAGAGCAATGTCAGACTCGGTGGGTTCTCCCCAAGGCATTTCATATAGCTCAGCTTATCACTAAAAACACTACATGTTGCCAGGCACGGTGGTGCATAACTTCCCAGCACTTCTGGGAAGCAGAGGCAGGCAGAGCTCTCTGAGTTCAAGGTCAGCCTGTTCTACATAGAGACTTTCAGGCCAGCCAGGGCTACACAGTGATACCTTGCCTCAAAGGAAAGCAACATAATAATAATAAAAATAAACCCTACATTTCTCTTGTCTTGCAGCTCAGCAAGTATGGAAAAATAAGAATAGCTGAGCTAGCTTCAACATAGGAGATGGTTGCCATAGTCAGGGGACCAAAGGTAGTTTAAATAGCCAGATAGGAATAAAACAGTCGCTATTGGCAGCAAGACACTGTCTAGAAAACCCACAATAAACCAAAGCAAAAATAAAAGGCGAAGGTTGGTTATATGACGATTGTAATTTACCTGTTTCAGTGCACTGAACCAGGAAATATCATGAAAAATTCCCATTTGCTTTAGCAATAGAAATTACAAGGTCCCTCAGATTATTTGTTTCGAGGGACACCGAAAGTTTTGCCAGATAACACCAAGGTCCCTGCTACTGTGTGGACATGTACGATTTTTGTGTGTTTGTTTGTTTGGTTGGGGTTTTTTCAAGACAAAGTTTCACTGTGTTGTGTAGCCCTGGCTGTCCTAGAACTCGGAGATCTGCCTGCCTCTGCCTCCTGAGGGCCGGGACTAAAGGCGTGGGCCATCACCACTCGGCTCATATATAATGTTTCAAACCTGCCAGTTTGCCCAGGCTGGCTTTGAACTTGCTATCTAAGCAAATGATAACCTTGAACTCCTGATCCTCCTGCCTCTACCTCATGAGTTCAGGAATTATGACTGTACCACCATGCCTGTAGCTCCAGCTTGGTCTTAGGAAGTGACAGTCAGCGGTTCAGTCAACTACAGACCTCTGAAGCCGCTTCTACAGTAGCTCCCATCTGCAGGAAGTCAGTGGTAGATAGTGAGGACCCTTACCACAGGATCCATCGTGGGTGGAGCTCTCCCCAGGGTAGCAGAGTAGCCTCAGGAAGGCAGCCAGGCACTGGCTTCCTCCAGTGGGAGAGTAGAGATGAGGCAGGGTAGAAGGTGCTAAAACGTTTGCATTCTAGCCTGGGAGCCACCTCCCCCCCCACCGTTCCTGGGCTTTTTGTTTTTATGGAGGAGGTTACACTAGTCATTTGTACTTTGTATGTGTGAGGGAATTGGAGGTGATGGGAGTATGATTGCCAGGAGCTGTTTGTCACTGGGTATGGCCATTCTAGAGGCTGGTTGTCATATGCAGTAATTTAAATGTCTGTAGGGCTGGTGGCCAGTCGGTGGTGGTGCACACCTTTAATCCCAGCACTTGGGAGGCAGAGGCAGGTGGATCTCTGTGAGTTCGAGGCCAGCCTGGTCTATAGAGTGAGTTCCGGGACAGCTAGGGCTACACAGAGAAACCCTGTCTCAAAAACACAAACCAAACAAAAAGCTGATGTAAGCAATCTGTTGCTGGCTTGTTCACTAGTATATAGTTTGAAAAGCAAATGTATTCCAAAGTTTTCCTTAGAAAGGAAGCCATGCAGCATAAAAGAAAACAACAACAAAAAGGCTTTATTGGCCCTAACCCCCAGCACGAACAGATGGTGTGAGTAAATCTAGGGGTTACTTTGTGCTTACCATGGGATTTCAAAGTGGTATCGGGTGATTGGCTGGCCAGTTACAGGACAGTGGGATGCAGCCCTGCCTTTTGTCACACACGTGCAAACACGCCAAACTCAAACCAAAAACTGCTTTGGAAGACTGTATTTAGAATCCCAAATGAGAAATGCTTTTCTTCATCCAAACATAAGATCCGGAAGGGAAAGCCCTGCGTGCTGGGATTAAAGGCATGCGCCACCACCACCCGGCTCTCAGGTTAAGTTCTCTAGTATGTGATTGTTTGGCCAGAGCATATGAGCTTAGAATTTTTTTTTTTTTTGGTTTTTCGAGACAGGGTTTCTCTGTGGCTTTGGAGGCTGTCCTGGAACTCACTCTGTAGACCAGGCTGGCCTCGAACTCACAGAGATCCGCCTGCCTCTGCCTCCCGAGTGCTGGGATTAAAGGCGTGTGCCACCAACGCCCGGCTTGTTTTTCTTTTTTCTTTTTATTTTATGTGCATGGGTGTTTTGCCCTGTCTATGTCTGTGTGAGGGTGTCAGATCTTGGAGTTACAGACAGCAATTAGCCTCCATGTGGGTGCTGGGAATTGAACCCAGGTCCTCTGGAAGAACAGTCAGTGCTCTTAACCTCTGAGTTATCTCTCCAGCCCCAGAATGTTTTTCTTTTTTTAAAAAAAATGCTTTTCTGACCTGGTGGTGGTAGCAGGTGTATCTCTGTGAGTTTGAGACCAGCCTCATCTACAGAGCTAGTCCCAGGATAGCCTGGGCTATACAAAGAACCCCTGTCTCAAAAAAAACAAAAACAAATTTTGGTTTTTGGCCTGGTGGTGGTGGTGCACATCTTTGTACTCGGGAAGCAGAGGCAGGCGGAGCTCTGAGTTCCAGGACAGCCAGGGCTACACAGAGAAACCCTGTCTCAAAGCAACAACAACAAAATAAAGTGTTTTGGGTTTTTTGTTTTGTTTTAATTCTTTATCTCTGTGACTTTGAGGTCAGCCTGGTCTATATAGTGAGTTCCAGGACAGCCAGGTTTATAGAGAAAGACCTTGCATCAAAGAACAAAATCATAACATACAAATGTTCCTAATTCCTTGAGGAT